GTGACTTATGTAAACTAAAACCTTAATTTGCATAATAGGCTTGTTGTGACAAGTACAAAAGTGATGGCTATGATTGTTTCAAAAATGAGCCTTCATTTGCATGAGAGGCTTGCTGTAACTGGCAAAAAACTTACCACTCTTGTGATTGGTTTAAATACAGTACTTCATTTGCAAGGGAGGGCTATTGTGACATTTATATAAGTAAGTGCAATGATTGGTCTAAATACAAACCTTAATTTGCTTAGGATGCTTACTTCTGTCAGTTATAAAATGAAAAAATGGTGTAATGGGTCCAAACACAAATCTCAACTCGCATAGTAGGTATATTATGACATGTAGTATGGTTACTAAGACCTGTATAACAGTAAGTGCTATGACTGGTCCAAATACAAATGTTAATTTGCATACAATGCTTACTTCTGTCATTGATAAAATGTAGAAGGCTGTGATTTATCCAAACATATACCTTAATTTGCATAATAGGCTTATTGTGACATGTAGAATGTAATGATTAGTCCAAACACAAACCTTAATTTGCATAGTAGGTTTCTTGTTATTTGTACAAAAGTGATGGCTCTGATTGGTTCAAAATTAAGCCTTCATTTGCATGAGAGGTTTGCTGTCCCTGGGAAAAAATTACCACCCTTGAGATTGGTTCAACATAGTACTTCATTTGCATAGTAGTGTTATTGTGACAAGTTAAAATTAAGTGCTGTGACTGGTCTAAGTATAAACCTTAATTTGCATAGAATGCTCAATTCTGTCAGTGATAAACTGAAGAATGCTGTGATTGGTCCAAACACAAGCCTTAATTTGCATAGTAAGTATATTATGATATGTAGTAGGGTTATTGTGACCTGTATAAGTGTAAGTGCTGTGATTGGTCCAAATAGAAACCTTAAGTTGCATAAAATGCTCACTGCAGTCATTGATAAAATGGAGAATGCTGTGATTGGTCCAAACAAAAACCTTAGTTTGCATAATGGGCTTATTGTGACATGTACAAAAGTGCTGGCTGTGATTAGTTCAAAAATAAGCATTCATTTACATGAGAGATTTGTTTTAACGGGAACAAAACTCAACACTCTTGTGATTGGTCTGACGACAGTGCTTCATTTGCATAGTAGGGTCATGATGACATGTATAAAAGTAACTGCTGTGACTGGTCCAAATACAAATTTTAATTTGCATAAAATGCTTACTTCTGTCAGTTATAAAATGAAGAATGATGTCATAGGTTCAAACACATGCCTTAATTTGCATAGTAAGTATATTATGACATGTTGTATGATTATTGTGACCTGTATAATTCTAAGTGCTATGACTGGTCCAAACACAAACTTTAATTTGCATAAAATGCTTACTTCTGTCAGTGATAAAATGAATGCTGTGATTGGTCCAAACACAAGCCTTAATTTGCATAGTAGGTATACTGTGACATGTATAAAGAGGGATGGCTGTGATTGGTTCAAAAATCAGCCTTCATTTGCATGAGAGGCATGCTATAATTGGTAAAAAACTTACCACTCCTGTGATTGGTTCAAACACAGTTTTTCATTTGCATAGTAGGGCTATTGTGATATTTATAAAAGTAAGTGCTATGATTGGTCTAAATACAAAGCTTAATTTGCATAAAATATTTACTTTTGTCACTTATAAACTGGAGAATGCCGTGACTGGTTCAAAACAATCTTCATTTGCATAGTAGGTTTCTTGGGATATGTATAAAAAATGATAGCTATGATTAGTTAAAAAATAAACCTTCATTTGCCTGAGAGATTTGTATTAACTTGAACAAAACTCATCACTCTTGTGATTGTTCTGTACACAGTACTTCATTTTCATAGTAAGGTCATGGTGACATATATGAAAGTAAGTGCTGTGTCTGGTCCAAACCAACCTTAATTTCCACAAAATGCTTACTTTTGTCAGTGATAAAATGAAAAATGTTGTGATTGGTCCAAACCCAAATCTCAATTTACATAGTAGGTATACTGTGACATGTAAAGAAAAGGGATGGCTGTGATTGGTTCAAAAATAAGCCTTTATTTGCATGAGAGGCTTGCTGTAACTGGGAAAAAACTTACCACTCTTGTGATTGGTTCAAACACAGTACTTTATTTGCAATGGAGGCTATTGTGACATTTATAAAAGTAAGTGCTGTGATTGGTCTAAATACAAACCTTAATTTGCATAGGATACTTACTTCTATAAATTATAAAATGAAGAATGCTGTGATTGGTCCAAACACAAATCTCAATTTGCATATTAGGTATATTATTACATGTAGTATGGTTACTCGGACCTGTATAAGACTAAGTGCTATGACTGGTCCAAATACAAACCTTAATTTGCATAGAATGGTTACTTCTGTCATTGATAAAATGGAAAATGTTTTGATTGGTCCCAACATAAACCTTAATTTGCATAGTAGGCTTACTGTGACATATACAAAAGTTATGGCTGTGATTGTTTCAAAATATTAGCCTTCATTTCCATGAGAGCCTAGTTATACCTGGTACAAAGTTTATAACACGTGTTTGTTCCAAACACAGAGCTTCATTTGCATAGTAGGGTTATTGTGACATGTATAAAAATAAGTGTTGTAATTGGTCCAAATAAAAACCTTAATTTGCAAAAATTACTTACTTCTGTCTGATAAAATATAGACTGCTGTGATTGTTCCAAACGCACTCCTTCATTTGGATACAAGGGCTCATGAGAAATGAAAGAAATAGAAGAAAGATAGGAAGTCTTAAAGAGCCAGAGAAAGGAAACTGCTAGTACTATTCACCAGAAGGTTTCCTTAGAATTGTCTTTAGGACCTAAGCTCCTCATATATCCATTAGTATACATCACAATTGTGTACAGTAAGAAATCTTGATATCTAAGCTGAACCAGATGCTGTATGTTAGCTATTTACAAGGATATAGAAGTCTAGATTTCTTGGGACCACATAAGATCTATAACATTGGCAGAACTGAGGGTCCTAGATAATTTAGATCTGTTTAAAAGCTGCAACATTTGGAGAATCAGGGTCCTGCTAACTATGGCCTGCGTGAGAGCTACACTAGAGAGTTGAACAACTGCTGCTGCTTGCTTCTGTTAACACCGAGTCATACAACAGCTATCTAAAAACAATATTTGAATATCTTATTCTTGTTTATATATATTGGGGCAGATCAAAAAGACCTAAGCCAGACAAAGGGTAACATTACTATACAAAAATGATGCAAATAATAGAAAACTGCTAAGTGCGCTAAATACTTTTATGGTAAGTCTTTTCAATCAGTTACAAATGCCTAATCCTGAATGACCAAATATTTTCTATATATAATACCAGGATAAATTATGATACAATGGATTTTCTTACTGATAAAACTATACTTCCTTCTCTATCACATTCATGTCAGCCATGTGCTTACTATTATGCTTAAGAATTTTAAAACTTTATTTCATAGAGGCCAAATATATCTCCTAAAATTTTTCTGAGTTATTTACACTAGGTTTAAGGCTAGTAGTTTAAAAATGTCCACCAGTAATTTGAATTTAACTTCTGAGTCTCAGCTTCTTCGTCTATAAGATAAGGAGAATGTTGTTTACCTCATGGAGTTCTAACAATTAAGTACCAGCACTGCTGCCACTGATAGTGCTATGGGAAACATCACTTGGTTTTTCTCTCTAGTATTGTTTACTTTTCCATTAGTTCTATCTATTGGGTCTGATTTCTTTTGTGGCAATTCTACCATTATGACCAGACTATGCTGTAAATGTTTTTATTCCAACCAACATATCTTACCTCACTGGAAAGTTATTAGCTCATGATAGAGAGGGTAACATAATTAGAGTTAAGAGAACCAGGCCAAAGGCTTTATTTTGACTATTGGAAGAGGAAAAAATGCTCCTTTTCTAAACAGTATAGTGCACAATATGGAACAATTACCCACTTGTAGCTAATATTGTACAGGTTTAGCATGCATGGAACTAGGAAAGGAGGTCAGCAATGTGTGAACCCTAAAATTGAAGCTAAAGAAGAGTAGGAAGCCAAGACTGCTTGGCTTAGGTAAGATTTGCCAATCTGGGTCAAGCTACAAATCAATGTAAATGCTACCAAGCTTTTATTGAGAACTTATAATGTGCCTAACAGAATGCTGACAGCCTTGCAGAAAATTCTTATTCAAACATAATACCAGTTTTCTAAGAGGACAAGTACTTCAAATACACCAGGTATCAGTTGTAACAACAGCTACCATAGTGATAATTATGTTACAAATAAGAATATCAAGAGTTACAAAGTAACTTGGCTCAGATCACATAGGCACTTTGAAGCCATGGGGGAACCAATGCTAATTTCAGTTCACTATCTTTATCAAGTGGTCCTTTACCACTACAAATAAGGAACAATCTCTGGCAGCATAAATGTAACCTTTTTACTCTCCTTCTTACTTAAAAACTGACATTAAATGTCAAGAAAATTTAGTTGCCTATAATGATTCCAAGGCATTGTTGTTTTAAGGTTGAACATGCTAGACTATACTGCCATTTTATGAACCCCTGAAGTAAAAATATTTTGGCTAGTGGTCACACAAGTGAGCCAAGACTATTCCTGCTTATGCTGTGAATTGTAGAGAGTGGGAAAATGAAATAATGTTTTGGGATTAGCCATTCTCTGTGGATTTGTTTTAATAAAGACCTTCTTGTTATAATAGGATGATATAGTGTGGTCTTTTTAGTAATCTATGGAGATCTTCCAATTATAAAAGGATTTCAGTGATAAAAGTTACTCAAGTATGATTACATGGCTTCTTATATTATACAGCATGTTTCTATGAAGAGATTCTAAAATAATTGCTTTATAATATCTCTTAGAGATTATAATAATCTTTACAGATAATTACTTGAAATTTAGAAGCTTTCAGCATCTTCAGGCCTGAAATATCACTTTTGCTCAGGTTTGTCTAATTATACAGCTGGTGGAGTGACCTGGAATTATTTCGTACCTTGGGCTGAAGCACAAACCACTCATCGCATGGATTTTCAAAGTTCCATGAGTCAAAAGCAATCTCCACCTCGCCAAGGAAACTGTTTCGTCCAAACCGATCATAGTGCCAGACTGAGAGTTGCAGAGTTCTTGTTTCCAGCTGGGTATGGCTGATGGTGTACTACAAATGAGATGTAAAGAATCACACTCCACAGGGAAGGTTCTATCTAATTGTAGAACAGGCTGAAATTGACTTCAACAATTTTCAGACCATAGCCATCAGCAATATGGAAATAATACTTTTATTTCTGCTACAATTGAAGACATGCATTAAAACAC